GTCTGTGGCTCGCCGCCGCGGAGGGGCGGCGCTGCTCCCCGCACGCCCCCGCCCGGCGCCCCCGCTCCGTCTCCGGGAAGGGCGCGGGGAGCCCCACGCTCCCCCTCAGCGCGGCGGCGGAGTTCGAGCCGGCGGCGGCGGCCGGGGTGCGATGCCGTGTTAGCCCCGAGGTAGCGCCGGCGGGAAGGAGCGCGAGTTGCCGGGGCTGTGGCTGACACCATGGGCACCGGGCGGGGGGGCGAGGCGGCCGGGCTCCCTGCGCTCCTCGGCTGAGCCCGGGGATGTGCCGGCGCCCGGAGGAATTATTTTGGAACTAGCACGGAGCGGTGGGAGGAGGACGAGCGGCACAACGTTTCACAGCTGCGAGGAGGTCGTCCGGCGGTGCTGTATAGGCAAGTAAGCTCTTGCTTCCTTTTCGTTGCTTTTCCTTCGTCTCCAGTGACTTTTTTTTTGCAGCTGCTGGTCGCTTGCTGCCAGTTCGTTGGCAGGATGGTCGGCGGCGCCAGCAGCAGTTCTCGGGGGTTGAGGAGCGGGGGATTGGTGGCCAGGATTGCAGGGGAGCCCCGCTCCAACTCCGCCGGAGTCCGCCGCGGGCGGACCGCTGGTGCGGTGCTCCGGTGCATAGCTGTCAAGGGAGCTCCGTGTCCCAGTGCTTCCCACTTCTGCAACTGTAAGAGATGATGCCTTTTTTTCAGGCATTTCATAATTTCATAATGCCTTCTCCTCTTTGCTGAGCTGTGACTAAATTGCAGGAGTCCTTTAATTGCTTTCTATCAGTGTTTCTTGTGGGAGAATGAAAGAAGCATGTTAGCCTTTCATACGCACTTATGGATTCAGACAGTGAACCCGGAGTTTTGATTTTTGTGCCCTTAACTTTCTTATGCCCTGCCTGGTGTTCTTCCTTGAGATGCTCTTGCTGTGAGGTTATGGTTCGTACAGCCTTGTTTGTTTCCTTTTAGCCTGTGGATATTTATTGCCACACTTGACATGGCAATGAAGGGAAAAGTTGACTGTAATTTATTTCAGTGTATAGAGGACAGGTTGCAGGCAGGGGACTAATTCTCCTCTCAGAGGAACTCAACTTCAAAGGAAGAGGCCCATGGGGCTGTAATCTGTATCTGAAAACTCGGAGAGCTCAGAGCAGACCGGTCACGCAGCAAAGAACGAGTTCTGTTCACCTTTCAGCAGTGATAGCGTTTAAGCTAAGCTGCCTGCCTTCCCGTACCTGTGAAAAGACCTGACTCTGAAATGCAGGGAATAGAGATGTGAATTCTGGGCAGGTTTGGGAGAAGGCAGAACTTTAGACACTGCTTAATTAAGTTTACTCTTACTGATTTCCTCAGTGTCTTCTCTGTGAGCCTGAAAACTGCAATCTGTTACAGTGACCTTGATGCATGTTGTATTCTAACATGAAAGCGGCACAGAATAAAAGTATTTACACATATTTACAGCTAAGCTCTGATGTTTCACTAGGAGCTCATTCAGTTTCAGTGAATTTGTTAGTTTCAGCAGGGGCACTGGGCATGGTATGTGTGTAGGAAATAACTTGGGAAAATAACTTGCTAATAGTGATGAAAGTAAAAGCTGAAGTGTTGGAAATGTACGTTTCTGCAGAAATGCCACTGTGTGTGAAATGTCTGTTGAGTTTTGTGTATTTTGTTTTCTAATCAGTGAGATCTGTACTGAAAGGAGTGTGTGGGTGTGTGTGGAAATCTCAAGGCTTCCCAGGTTAATGCACTTTGAGTTGGCAGCAGCAAGAGATCTTTTTACATTCTGAAATACACATTTTTACGTAGATGCAAGATTGACATGACAAGATTAAAAAGTGTTGGGATGTCAGTATGGTGAATGTGTAGCTAACTCAAATTAATAGCTGAAAGATAAACTAATCCTTTCCCATAATGGTGGAAGGTGATCTGCCTGAAGGGAGTGTCATTTGTTTCATTACAGTTTATGGAGAATGTTCATATTTCTGTCTCTCTGATGAAGCTGTGAAACACAATTAGAATAACTGCTGCTAGACAGTGGGATGCAAACCTATCTGTTACTTAAAACACTCAGCTTATTCTGCCTCATATAAAAAAAAGTATAGTTTCTGGCAAAGTCTGCCTATGGTTCTGTTGTAGTAATTCCGTCCTCTGTTGCAGAGTGGCAGGCTTTCACTAGGCATGTGCAAGGGAGAACATGAAACACTGAAGCATGCACTAATCTGGAATTCATTTGGGCTATGTATTACATTTGAGGTTTCCACAGTTAGCATAAGTGCTTATGCCTGATGATATGAATAAACGGGGTTTAAAAACGGTATTAGCTTTGTCACTTGTGATGCATATTGCAGTCTTCTTCTTTTTAGTCTTTCAAACTAATCTAATGCTATACTCATTCTTTGCCTGGAGAAGAAGAAAACATAATTTAATAATTTATCATTTGGCTTTTGCCATGTCTTGTCCCATAGCTATGAGATAATCTAATGAAGGTCCCCATCACTGAATTAAAGGACATGGTGATTTAGACTTTCTCTTACAGTCAGATTTCCCCTCTTTTACGTGGCCGAAGAACCGAGTTTTAACAAGGTCTGAGAAAAAAATGTTGCTTTTTCTGTTAGAAACTCGAAAGAAAGGGGAAGGTAACGCTTGTGGTCTTTAAAGACATAATTAAAAACATCCACTTTTAAGATATTAATCAACCTCCTTTACCTTCACACATTTCTTTATCTTTTACTTGGTACTTGTCAGAAAGCCTTCCTGCATATTAATATTTTATTTTACAATGTGTGTAGTTCTTAATTTTAAAAATTCAGGAGTGGCCATCACACACTTCATTGTAAGGCTATTCTAGAATCCTGTTTAATGTTCTGTATTCCACTTGGTTTTATCTTTTGAATCAGAGATTTCCAAAGCACACTATATTCAACTTTATAGTATGCATTTTTGTTTTAATTGTAGGTAAATCTATTTGCTAGAGAAGATTGTTGACCTTGATTCAGAAATTTCAGGGCAAGCTCAGAAGTTATTTATCTTTCCTAATTTTTTCGTGTTTTCTCAGTCATGCTTTTTGGGCATAGCTTTCGTGAACTGACAGAAAGACCTGTAAGCAAAATTAAAAACACCAACAATTAAATGTTGATTTTTCTAGTCAGCCCAATGCAGTTGAGTATGTAATTTCTATTTATTCTTCTTAGATTGAATATTAAGACAAACAAGAGCTGTAGTATGCTCTCAGTTCTTCCCTCTGAAGTGCTCAAGTATCTTTTCTTCTTTCTTGTGACTTAGCACTGGCCCTTGTGCCTGAGCTGTCATTATTTCTTTCTGATAGTCATCACCAGGTCTGCTTGCATTCACTGTTAAAAAGCTAAAGTGTTGCTGTGGATGATAAGAAACATCAAAGGGATTTAATGTGTCTTGTTTGTTAGCCCTTCACATGGCTGTGCTTTCAGTTCAGGTTTCCAGAGAGAGGCCTGAATTTGGTTGGGTTGAATCCCAACATGAGTCTGCTACATCAACATATACCTCTGACAGTATGCTGTGACACTGGCTCAGCATGATTACACAGGCAAACTTCTGTATTTGCTCAGTTTTCTCTGCCGTACCTGGAAGAATCAGAAAACCTTACTGTTGTTGTGGCCAGCCTAGATTTTCTGCATTCCTGTTGCAGATCAGAGGAGAGAGAGAAAGCATACATTAAAAAAAACCAAAACCAAAAAAATCCAGAACTTAAAACAGGTCATGTCTCAAAGATATAGCTATAATTAACACCAAAGAATGCAGTGGAGATACATCCAGGGAAATTCACACATGTATTTAATTATCCAAGGAGGAAATTATTATTCATCTTGAGATATTGATTTAGTCTTAAGAGATTGATTTAGTAGGTGATGTGCCTACCCCTTATGAAGAAGAGGAGCTATATGGTACAGAAACAAAGCTTTTTTCCACTGCAGACTTCAGTTGTGGCTGTCACTGTCGTTTGGGACTCTAAGCCTTCTTTTCAGTAATTAGCTGGAATTGGCCAAAAGAGGTGGAATGCTCTGTTGTGTGATGAAGCTGGTGCTGCAGCAGCCAAGGGCTGGGTTGTTTCCTGGGGACTTGCTCTCTTCAATTTATTAAAATAATGAGTAGAGAAAAACTAATCAAGAAGAGTGTTCAGGATGAGATTAATTTTATGATTTGTTCTCTGGTTTATTTTGGGTGATGTTGGGCAAAACCATAAAAGTTCTTCAGTGTGATGCTTATGTGAGAGTAGCATTAGTTTTGACAGACATATATAAAGACATGTAATATATTTATTTATTTAACATAAATAAATGTTCTGTAAACTGGGATTAAGGTTTTGCACATGAGACTAGAACATGGATAAATGAAACTGCTGGACACAGTTTGCAGTGCCACTCAGGCACTTCAGAGATAAGGACTGGATGGTTTCTGAAAGGCTGTGCTCTATCTTCCACCGTGAAAAGCAGGAGGTCCCCCATGCCAGGAACTGAGCACAGCTGAAACAGTCATGCCCTGAGGGTGGCAGTGGATGTTCCCAGTGTGGAATAAAACTTGGAGCAGAGTGAAAGTGCCACACTGATGTTCACAGGGTGCTTTTCAATAGCCACTGGAATTCCTATGCAAAATGGGGTTGAGTGAAGGCACTGATGCTTTACTGCTTTAATAATGCATGGATACGGAGTCTGTGAAAGAACTCATGGCTTCAGGGATGCTGTGGGTGCAACTGATTGATTGCTCAATTCCACAGGGGATTATCATCTGGAACAGGGGTGAATTTTTAATTTTTTCCATAAAGTTTGTCCCTTGCTCTTAGATTTGGGTGTTCGTTCCTTAGTTGGTTGAGATTTTGGTTCAAAGGTGTTCTATAAAAGCTGACAAACATCAAGCACTTCTGAAGTGTTCATTTCTTGGAGCTTTTGAGATAACACCAGAGGAGGAACAATTTATTAATCAGATTATTCTGAAGTTTGGCTTTATTTTATTTTTTGTTCATTCTCAGTGTGTTTCTTCAAATAGTGAACAGTGTACTTGGTTTCATGTTGAAGATGTTAGAAATGGCATTTTCAGTTGCATTTTATATTGGCATTTTATATTGTCATTTTATATTGCTTTTTGGTCAAATTATTCAAATAGACTCAGATTTAAGTGTGAATAAAAGCTATTTGAGTAAAAAAAAACCCACATGCCTTTTCCCTTCCACTTTTTGTATTGAATTTATTTTAAAAACTGCTAACCATAAAGAAGTGAGAACTGGAGTGCTGTTTATGACATTCATATTTCTTCTGCTTTCTGTCAAAAACTAAAGGGAATTTCATCTTGTACAAATGACAGACTATCATGAGTGATAATAATCATGTCCTCTGATTCTTTCTTGGTGTAAAGACTATTTTGCTATTTTTTTTA